CATCACGGATGGAATCTTCATCATTACCAGCATCAGCATCAACATCACATCACCTCCAAGTGCTTCGTGGCCGCCACTTAACTTTGAGCTTCATTCAGCGCTAGCGAGCAAATAAAGGAGACATTGTAGTGTGCGACAACGACTAACCCGACTTGCTAATTCGTGCAACGCCTAAGTACAGCACATTGCAAATGAGGCAGACAGTCGTGAAGTGTTTAGGCTGTACACACACACACACTTTTTTGCCTTTCTCCAAAACTACTCGGAAAAGTCAGCAAAAAACATTGTGTATTGAACACAGACAGAGAGAAAGCATCGCAGTGGAAAGAGAAGAAAAAAGGCAAGCAACTAAAGTCAGCCATGCTAGCGATTATTTATGGGTGACATCTGAGTGCCAGACAGCAGCAGGAGAAAGTGGCAATAAATTGAGAAACCTTTTCTGATGCGCACAAAGCAAAGCAAAGCAGTCCTTTTAGCCTTTAGAAGAAGACGAAGAAGTGAAAGTGGTGTCTGGCGCCTTGCGCGCCCTGTGGACACTGGTGAGTGATGGCAAACCTTGACAGGGGGTGATGCACCTGCGCGCATCGAAACATTAACGCTAATAATATTCCAATGAGATTGCGCGACTGGTCGAGTGTGGAAACACAGGACAGGAGTGTGGAAGGAAAGTGCTCCAGCCCTGTCTGCTTCAAGGCTGTGCTGGTGAAGAAGTTTCACTTTTGTTATTTATGCCCATGCCGTACAGTGCTGCATTGTGCTTTAGTGTGTGTGTGTGTGTGTGTGTTCAAAGTGCACAGTGCACGACACCAATAGCGCATTTGCGCTTTCCACTTCTCAATAACAAGCACAGACTACGACCCTGTTGTTGGGTTGACCTCATTAGTTTGTTGTAGTAATGTCCAAACACACATACTCACACACGCACAGAGGCTGTCTCATTGCGACTAACTAGAAAGCAGACACTGCTGTCGTTGTTGATAGTGTGTTGACTGATCAGGCTGGGCAGAAAATGGCTGGCGCTACTTGATCTCTGCTGAAGCTACTGCTAGTGTCAGCTCCAGATAGAGTTTGCATCAAGCCTATCAAGATATATATCAATACTTTGACAAGTGGAGACAGTCAGTACAGTGAACAGTTTGGTTCACTTTGGTTCACTGTTCACTATCTATCTGTTTTATTTGATGACAGTTTTGTTGTAACTATCTCTGAAAGAAGATGAAGGCACCAAAGGACAGAGAGCGAAACAAACAAAGTAGCAAAAAGATGCATTTTTAGAGAGAGAAAGCAGATTGTATCATCAGCTAGGATGACTTCAGTTACTAGCACTGCTTGACACAATCGCTTCCTCTCTCTCTCTCTCTCTCTCTCTCTCTCTCTCTCTCTCTATTTCTTTTCAACACTTCCACAACACTGAACTTTACCCGTTTTGGCAAAGTATGTCCTGGTAACATGCATCTGCTGAACTGATTTTTCTAGTAACGTNATTTTTAGAGAGAGAAAGCAGATTGTATCATCAGCTAGGATGACTTCAGTTACTAGCACTGCTTGACACAATCGCTTCCTCTCTCTCTCTCTCTCTCTCTCTCTCTCTCTCTCTCTCTATTTCTTTTCAACACTTCCACAACACTGAACATTACCCGTTTTGGCAAAGTATGTCCTGGTAACATGCATCTGCTGAACTGATTTTTCTAGTAACGCTAAACACTGAACACTAATTGTAATTGAGGAGCCGGCAAGTGAGCGGTTCTGAGAAAGCAACAACTGTTGCGGCTGTTGGCACTTAACCTTTGCCCTGCCCTCAATAGCGGACAACACTTGTTTTGTTTTTTCCGCTTTCTATAACAGTTGTAAGGAAACATTCTGACACTAAATAAGCTTGACTTGCTTTCAGTTTCTAGCTAACAAAAAAAAGTGAGAACTGGTCAGAGCTGGTTATCCCTTTCTTCACTTTTCATTCGTTCCTACTTTATTCTGCTTTTCGTCTAGCTGAATTGCCTTTTTTTCTCTTTCCCTTGTACTTTTTACCAAAAGTGGCCACAAAAAGGCATACAGGCAGTAATCTTGTTAATTACCTTGCCTGTCTCTTCTTCTTGTACACTCAGTCAGACGGGCACATATGCTTTCTTCTTCTCTTTCTCCTTCTCCTTATCCTCAGGAAGAACAGGAGCAGTACTACGAGCAAGACGATCATCATCATCACTACCATCACCATCACAGAGTAGAGTAGAGCCACCCATCTGAAAAACACAGAGAGTGAGAGAGAGGTATCCCAGAAGTATGTTGCATCAGCAGCAACAGCCGAACAGAAACAGTGTCTCCATTTGTGTAGACTGTGTGTGTGTGTGTGTGAAAGTGGGATCAAACCAGGCGCACGTAGTCTGAGAAAACGAGAGAGGGAGAGGAAGAGCGAGAAAGAGAGTTTAAAACGAGCCTGCAGCAGGCCGTCAAGGCACACTTGATCTCAGCTGGCCGACTGCAGTCAGTCAGTCAGTCAGTCAGCCAGTGCTTTCAGCCAGTGCACTGAAGGAACTGGCGCCGACTAGCAAGCACAAACTGTGCTCTTGTACGACCAGCTGCTGCTCACTAAAGCAACAAACAGACATTCACATTGCCTTTCACTGATTCTTCTTCATCTTGGCTTTTCTTCAGTTGCACTTGCAGTTGCATAAACACAACCAAAAACATTTCTTCTATCCGGCACACTTGTTGCGCCTAAACATATTCTGGCAGCGTTTTGTTACCATTTCCCCTTCTTGCTACGCTTAACTGTTTGTGATTTTTTGTGATTTTGTGATCAAGTAACAAGTTTTTTAGTGTTGTTGGTGCCTGCTACTTTCCTCAAATGACAATCACTCTAAACGGCCATTCACCGTATATCTCAAAATTTGGGACTTTCCAAAGACGTTGCCAGTTGACAGATTAGGTCAGTGCTTTTACCCCCTTCTTTTTTCCCCTAACACTAACACCTGTAAACCTCCCAAAGCTTAACAATGTGCCTGCAAGTGATTACCAGATCGGCTAATGTGATTGCAGGTGCCATCTTACCTTACTTTTAAATTGCTTTTTGTTGTTTTTGTTTGTTTAGCGCGCCGAACTGACAGACAAGCTACTACTACAACTACCCCCTACCTATCTACTAATGCTCACGCAAACAGATTTGACAGGCAATCAGGACAGATGTTAATGAAGTGTTGCCAGCTAAAAATGCACAGTTGCTATACTAGCTAGATTGCCAGAACTGAGTGACTGACTGCACAGCAGCCGCAATACTCTGTCTCCCAGTGTGGTGCATGCATAATTTATGAAACACTCATCAGGCATATATCTATCTGTGTGTGTGCCTTTGATAGAGTTTAGAACCTGTGTGTGATGAGCTGACGATAAGAAGAAGAAAAAGAAAAAGAAGAAGGCACAAGAAGTGATAGATGGTCTGATTGACAGCACAGACGCTGTGCCAGTGGCCAATGTTCATCGTCTCATTGCGCGCGCCTTGTTTTGTCTCTTCTTCTTTTTGTTTAAACAGTTAATTAAAAAGTGTACTTTTTGTGTAAGTGAGTGCTTAGGGGGGGGGGTTGATAAAGATAGGGTTGTGTATCTGATGAAAAGTCCATTGACTGACTGGGTATATTGGCTTAACCAGTTAGTAACTGCTGATAAGACTACACTGAGTTTGTTTAGTGTGCACTAAAAAAACTGCACTACTTGCCACACTACTGCTGCTGCCAGTCTGTCCCATTCTCCCTCGTCAGACATCTCTTGACATCAGCAACAATGTATCTATCACTCCAGTGTACGGCTGCAGTGCTGGGGTTAAGCACTTCCCGGCTTATCACTTGTGTCGATTTGTGCGATGCCTTTGCGTATTCCTTTGCTTTGCTTTTCTTTTTTTATTGTACATGCTTATGTGGTCGCCGAAAACCTCTTTCAGTAGTGGCTGCCTCTTTCTTTCTTTTTTGCTGCTGTACAACTGTTGCTGCTGCCAACAGCAGCAAAACTTTCTTCTTTTCTTTTTCTCCTCCTCCTTCTTCTCGTTTTATTGACTTGATCTCCTTTTCCTTAACGTTCCTACACTCTGTCCCCTGTTGTTAGTCTGCATTTGTCAAAGTGTTTGTCTGTTTCTGTTGCTGCTTTTGCTGTTGTTTCTACACACACACAAATTGCACTTCTACTTTCCACTACTTTTTTGTCGCCTGTCGCTTTTATCTTTCCTCCTCCTCCCTCTGCTATGGGTGCTTTTTTCTAATTAGCCTGCGTAGTAGCTGCGTTCTGCTCTTGTCAAGCTGTCTCAATTGCGATTGAGTGCAGTTTTGCGATGCTGTTGCTGCTGCTGCTTTGGTGTAAACGCTGCTAGACCAGATATATTGATGGTGATGGTGATGGTGATGCTATTGCCGTTGCCATTACTGCTTCTGGTCATTGACTTGCTACTACGATCAGAGAAAGAGTGTGTGAGTGTGTGAGTGTGTGTGTGTGTGTGAAAGCGACACCATCCGATTGCGGTCGCAGTCATTGACGGCAGTCTGTTGCATAAAAGCGACAGAAAAGGAAAGAGAGAGAACGGGCGGCTTGGTTGGTTATGCCACCAAGTTGGTATCACTTTACTAATTACCTCTTCTCGATTACCACTGCTACCACCACCACCACCACCATCAACACCACTACTACTAGTTCTCTAACTGACTTTGTCTTTGGTTATGTTTTCCCATATATAGCCGACTGCAATTGCCAATTCAAGCCATCATCACCACCACCACCACCACCATCATCATCATCTCCTTTCGGTTTCACACATCATCGCACTAGCCGTTCGCCGCTCGCCGTTTTTTCGTTTTTGCTTTTCCCCGTGATAATCGTCGGCACTTCACGTTAATTTGTGGCCCCCGTTTTGTGTGTCTGCTTACAAACAGGGGAAACAAGCGAGACAGCAGACAGCAGACAGACGCCGACACATTCACACACGCACACATTTACTGATCATGGCCACCCACCGCCAGGCAATAATGAACAACATGAGCCTGTTCCGCCATGTAAGTAGCACTACCTTTTGTCGCCTTGTTAGCCAGTTACAAGGCACAAGATGAACAAATTTTTTTATGTTTACAAAAATGTGAATTTTTTATTGTTTTTTAACAGGATATTCCCAAGCCCCGACTGGAGCCGGAGGACTACCTGGAGAAGACGTTCAGCGACTACCTGTCCTGCCATCCCACCTACATGATACCGCTCATCAGGGCGCACAACTTTATCATGCGTGATTTGGGACCACTGAGCACCATGGCCCGCCACTACATTGCCCTTCTGGTAAGTGCTAATATCAATGCATTCACATTTCAATTGTCTGCACCTTTGTTTGCCCACCGCCAGTGCAATCAGTAGTTGTGCTTTTTGTGCCAATGCGAGCAATGACCTGTTGAGAATGCTTAGCGAAGAAGGGCTGAGGCTGATAAGGGGTTACACCGGTTCTTCCATTGCTGATAGTAATTTATGTTTTTTGCTATTTTCTTTTGCTGATAAACTTATCAGGCTGCGTCGCGACACCGCTGCTCTTACCTGGTCAGCATCTCCAAGAAAGAGTTCCTTCACAATGGAGGTGATCCTGATTGGCTGCGCAACTACGAAAAAGCGCCCCTTAAGTTGCGCTCTTTGCAAACAGTCAATAAAATATTGGCTCATCAGCCATGGCTACTAAAAAAGTCGCACATTGAGGTTAGTAGTAGTGAACTGCTGATAAAAAAACTACTAAAACTAATACAAGACACTTTTAAACATGCAAACTTTTTGTGTTCTTTTTTGTTTTCTTTTTGTACTTTAGTCTCTCGTCAAGGGCCCATACCAGTGGTCGCTGTCTGAGCTGACTCACGCCATCATCATCATGGTTCACTTTCACGCTCTCTGCAGTCTGTCATTTGGCTGCAAGTTTGGCTCGGACAAGCCGGAGAACTTTGAAAATGAAGACAACGACTGTGAGGAGGTAGAGATTGAGGAGCTAGTCTACGATGTGAAAGGCTCGCAAAAGATCAAGAAGATTGTCAAGCGCTCGCCCGCCTCAAAACTGATCATTGAGCGATGCCGACAGCTGGAGCTGGAAAACGCCACTCTGGCGGAGATTATGACGACGCGTTTCAATGAGCGAAACGCACGAGTTCGAGAGCGGGCTCAGCGGGCACTGGAGCGTGCGAGCCGAAACAACAATCCGCTCAACCCAAATAGCCCAAACTACAATCCAAATTTTAACAGAAATAACAACAACAACAACAACAACAACAACAACAACAACAACGCAGGCAACGCAGCCAACGCTGAGGGCGTTGAGAATGCTGATAACGCTGCTAACGGTGATAACGCCAACAATGCCAGTGGCTCAGGCAGCAACAACAACAACAACAACGGCAGACCAAATGGCGTCAAGAAGATCCGTATCAAGAACAAGAACAAGGGCAAAAAGAACCCGAATCAGAGCCCGAACAACAACCCATCGACCAGCAGCAGCAGCAGCAGCACCAGCAGCAGTGTGAGTGACAGCTCCAGCAATGACAGCCTCTTGCTGTCCACGTCGCCCTTGAGCAGCACCGGAAGCGGCGGAGGCAAGGGCTCAAAGGGGGGCAAAAAGCAACAGCAAGCTAAGGCCAAACAGGCCGCAAATGCTGCTGCCACCGTTGTTTCTCTGCCGCCCGGCTCGAGCGCCGCAATTGAGGCAAAAGAGGGCCAGAAGTTGATCAGTCTGGCGGAGGAGGAGGAGGCGGCGGAGGCGAAGAAGAAGAGTGCCGCTGCTGCCGCTGTGGATGTGGTCCCCTTCGCCGGGTGCACCTGGTCCGAGGACGAGTGGAAGCGAAACGCCTTCGACGGCATAGCCGCCGACCCCACCTTTGGCTACATTGACTTTGCCAGCCGCGACAAGCAGAAGAGCTCGCCCACCTTCCGCATTCAGGACTACCAGTGGGACGACCAAGGCTACTCCCTCTGCAACCTCTTCTACTCGGACATTAGCCAGTTTCTCGATGAGAAGTTTAAGGTGGGCTACAATCTCACCTATTACACGTAAGTTTTCCTTATTTTTTTGGTTGCTGTTACTGACCGAAACAATGTTTGCTTTCTTCACAAATAGCCTTGGTCCAAAGACCAACATTGACACTTCTCCCTTTCGACGAGCCATTTGGAACTACATTCAGTGCATCTACGGCATGCGCCACGATGATTACAACTACCGTGAAGTGAATATTCTGCTTGAGCGTAATCTCAAGTGCTTCATTAAAAATCTAGCTTGCTATCCTGAACGAGTTCCAAAACAGGTAAAAACTTTGTTGTGGCAATGTAATTTACTAAAAAAATACTCATTGAAACTTGTTCTTATTAGGATTTTGCTGATGTGATGCAAGGTTTTCGTCCGTCTGAGAAGGTATTTATGTCTATTGTTGATTTAATTAAATAATGGTTTTAACATTTTGATTTTGATTTAGATTCACGTCATCATCATGGTTTCAGAAGCTCGTTTGCAAACTGAACTACTTTACGCTCTGCGCACTATAACTGAGGTTATGAAAACTTCTTCATAAAGAAAAGTTTATTAACGCACAAGCTTATCTTTACTACGAGCCAAACTATTCTTTAGACTCTTTTGACCAACTGGTCTTATAGATCTATTTTCCATTATTTTTTTGTTGTTCCAATATTATTTTTAATTGTCGTTTGATATCTTATGCCTTGATATTGGATCTCGCGTTTGTTTTAAAAAAATTTTTTTTGTAAACAAATTAAAAAATTTGTGAAATCAATTATTTTCAGCGGTATTTTCCAACTTTGTAATTGACTATCGCTAAAAAATATCTGTTATATTAGTATCAAAACATTTTTTGTTTAAACAAATATATTTTTGTCATACACATAATTGACAATAAAAACCAACAAAACAGTGCAAATGCAATTTGTGCACAAAAATATCAAATTTCAAAAAGTTTTTATTGTTTAAGTTTGATAAATGTTTAAATTAATAAATTTTTAATGCAATCTAAAAGAAAGTTTTGTAATATTTTAATTTACTAGAAATAGAATTAGAAAACTACAGTAAAAAACAATTAGTTAATCTTAGCAAAAATAGAGCAAGTGACACATTGAAAAAAATTAAAAATAAAAAAGTTTGTTTTACTTTAAAATAATAAAAAAAATTTGGTAGAGTTTGATTTAGAAAAATTGTAAACACAAAAAGCATTTTTTAAATTAAAAAGTAGTTTTTAAAAACATTGCAAATATAACTGTTCAGCAAAGCGATAAAGTTGTTTATTTGTTCCTTAACACATAATATTGTGAGTTGTTCATTGACCAGGCAAGGGCGGCTTGAAAAAGAGTTCATTATCAAATGAATTGTCCACTGGAAGACCTCTCTTGATTTTGTGCGGAATGACCTTTTCCACCATGGTGATGCAGTCGATGATGGGACAAACTGACAGACAGAGATTGCAACCAGTGCAGTCATTGGTCACTTCGGCAATGTGCGTTTTTGGGTCAAACTTGATTGCCTGGTAGCCCGAGTCGTTGCACGTCATGTAACACTTGCCGCAATTGATGCACATGTCCTGGGTAGTATTAAAAAATAAAATTAATAAACAACACATTGTTTTGGTAAACAATTTGTACCTTGTCAATTAGTGCCACTTTCTGAGACTTAACGTCGAGTTCAGTGAAAGCTCCAATTTTAGGCAATGCCTTGCCAATTAGGTCCTTTTAGTAAATAACAAATGAAAACGTTAGTTTAATATAAAATAGTTGAAAATAAATAAATACCTTAACTCTAAGTATTTTTTCCGGTTTAGGCGGGTCACGCTTCAAAACAGACTCCACTTTAGGACGACCAGCCACTGGTTTGCCCTTCTGGTGAACTGGCGTAGGCATCGATTGAAAATCCCATTTATTTTCGTACTCATTGTCGCCTAGACTTTTCAGGTAGATGAGCGTTTTCAAGCCGGTCACGTAGTCGTCAATTACGGTGAAATCCTGATTCTGTACAGCACTGCAAACCTGTGAGCCAAAACAAATCATCAACAATTGAAAAAATTAAAAAACTAAACTTCCGCTTTATTACCTGGAGGACACTGGCACCGGCGTAGAGAAACTGCAGCCCAGATTCGGCAGAGTCAATGCCACCAGTGGCCAGAATGGGAAAGTTGGGCAGTACCCGGGCAATGGAGGAAACGGCCCTGAGGGCAATGGGGCGAATGGCGTTGCCGGACATGCCTCCATAAGTGGTACGTCCTTCTTCGCCAACAGAGGGCCAGGCGGTGCCATTAGAGCGCAGGTTCATCAGCGTGGACACCGTATTGGTGGCAGTAACGCCGTCAGCTTTGCCTGCAATAGAATTTAGATGTTACAATGAGAGTTTTTATATTAAAATGCAATCCCTAAAACGTACCTTCATAGGCAGCAAAAGCAATGTCGACAATTTCGGTGACATTAGGTGTCAGTTTGGCAAAAACGGGAATATGCGTCACCGACTTCACCCACGAGCAGATGTCCTTGACCATGTCAAAGTTTTGACCGCACGCAAGGCCCATGCCTTTTTCGCCCATTCCGTGGGGGCTGTATTAGGAAAAAGTTTTGTTAATAAAAAGTAGAGTAACGGCCCATAGGCCGCTAGCGACGTGGCTTTGAGAAGTTCAAAGTTACGTCGCCTGTTTGTATATTTTACACCAAACTTGCAAAGTTAGGTAACTTGGACCAAACCCAGTACATTTTGCTCAATAAGCACTAGGTAATTTTTGTGCCAAATATTAGGTCCTAGGATTGGGGCAAACTCAAATTATGAATGTTTTTGTGAAACCAAAATCAAGCCATTTTTCCATAGACACGCTGTAAAATTGCAACGCTTATGGGGAAAACGCTTAAATTAAATTTTAGAAAAATAATCATAACTTGAGTTTGCCCCAATCCTAAGACCTAATATTTGGCACAAAAATTACCTAGTACTTATTGAGCAAAATGTACTAGGTTTGGTCCAAGTTACCTAACTTTGCACGTTTGGTGTTATATACAAAGCAGCTACTCTTTGCCATTAAAGTCAATCTGGACTACGTATGCTTGTGTTCACTCTCATTCAGCGCTGTAACCCATTTTTTATCAATGCAACTTACCAGCTAAGGTTGAGCTCCAGCGCATCAGCGCCCGCCTTGGTGGCCATCACCGCCAGCTCCACCCAGTCGTCCTTGTTGTAGGAGGCCATGATGGAGGCAATGAGAATGTTCTCGGGGAAGTCCGCCTTGAGCTCGGTGATGTTCTGGCACCAGTACTCGGCCGTCTTCTCGCTGATCAACTCGATGTTGAGGAAGGAGCCGACGTGGGGGCCGTACTGGTGGCCCGAGGTGATGCCGCGGACGATGCGCGGCGACACATTCGTCACCAGCTCCTTGTCCAGCGAGAAGGTCTTGGTGAGGGCGAAGCCCCAGCCGGCCTCAAAGGCGCGCCGAATCATGGCGCCGCTGGTGGTGGGCGGGGCACTGGCCAGGCCGAAAGGGTTGGGAAAGGTGAGACCGCACATGGTCACGCTGACGTCCACCAGGTCCACCTGGGTGAACATTCGCGGAAGGCGGGGCGTTCCTGGATCGACGATCGGCNACTGGCCAGGCCGAAAGGGTTGGGAAAGGTGAGACCGCACATGGTCACGCTGACGTCCACCAGGTCCACCTGGGTGAACATTCGCGGAAGGCGGGGGTTCGGATCGACGACCAGTTCGCCGCCGCCGCCGAACTTCTGCTGCATGTACTGGTGCATGAACCAGGCGGCGGTCTTTCCGTCATTCACCGCCTCGACGGTGGTCTCCGAGACGCCGGCAATGTCGCCGCCGCAGAAAACCCAGTCCTCGCTGGTGCCCATCGTCGCCGGGTCGACCAGTGGCAGGCCGTTTGACTTCAGCTTCAGCGGCGAGAGCGCCTTCACCACCTGCTGGTCCTGCAGACCGGAGCCGAAGGCGGAGATGACAAAGTCGGCCTTCAGCTTGATGATCTGCTCTCGGTCCTCCACCAGGTTGCCCTCGTCGTCCAATTCGGTGCGATAAAATTCGACGGAGCTTACTCGGCCACCATTGTCGGCATTGANACCGCCTCGACGGTGGTCTCCGAGACGCCGGCAATGTCGCCGCCGCAGAAGACCCAGTCCTCGCTGGTGCCCATCGTCGCCGGGTCGACCAGTGGCAGGCCGTTTGACTTCAGCTTCAGTGGCGAGAGCGCCTTCACCACCTGCTGGTCCTGCAGACCGGAGCCGAAGGCGGAGATGACAAAATCGGCCTTCAGCTTGATGATCTGCTCTCGGTCTTCCACCAGGTTGCCTTCGTCGTCCAATTCGGTGCGGTAAAACTCGACAGAGCTTACTCGGCCACCATTGTCGGCGTTGGTGTTCACCTTGGCGGGCACTAGGAAAGGCAGAAATTCGCACTTTTCCTCTCTGGCCAACTCCACCTCCTCGGGAACGGCTCTGATGTTGGTGAAGCCTCGTCGAAAAACGACACTGACGCGTTTGGCGCCGCAGCGCAGCGCCGAGGTGGCGCAGTCGAAGGCAGTGTCGCCGGCGCCAAGAACAATGACATTGCCGTAGATCTGCGGGAGGGCACTTTTGCAGGCGCACATCGCCCCCTTGCTCGCTTTGGAGACCGCCGGCAGAAAGTCCTTTGAGGTGAAGAAACCGTGCGCCTGCTCCAGCCCCTGAAAAACCGGGTCCCGTTTCGCCTCGGGCAGGCCGATGCCAATGAAAAGGCAGTCGTAGTTCTGCTCAATGGACAGCGAGGAGAGCGTGTAGTCGTAGCCCAGCTTCTGGCCGGTTTTGATCTGCACGCCCAGGTCGAGCATCAGGTCGATCTCAAACTTGACCGCCTCATAGGGCAGGCGAAACTGGGGAATCTCGGCACTGCTCAGCCCGCCGATGTAGTCCTCCTTCTCCAGTATGGTAATGTCGCTGTAGCCCAGACGGGCCAGGTAGGTGGCGCAGCTGATGCTGGCCGGCCCACAGCCGACCAGGCCAATCTTGGTGCTGTACACCAGCGGCAGCTGCTCAGCGGGCGGCAGCGCCGGGTCGCGAATCTGCTGAATGTTCATCCGCTTGAACATCTCCACGGCAAAGTGCTGCAGGCCGCTGATGTTGATCGGCCCCTCCTCGGAAGCGTACAGATTGCAGCCGCCCACGCACAGGTCCGAGGTAGGGCAGACCATGCCGCAGGTGAGGCCCAGAGGATTGTCCGACAGGATGGCCTTGGCGGCGCCGTAGTAGTTCTAAACATCATAAAGAGGAATGAGATTAATAAAACTCCTCTTTTTCAGCCAAAATTGACCAACCTTATTGGCGATCATCCCGATGAAAGCTTTAATGTCTAGTTGAGTGGGACAGCCCTTTTGGCAAGGCGCATCGGCACATTTCAGACAGCGGGCAGCCTCCTTGAGGGCGCCTCGTTCGCTCAGCGTCNAATTGACCAACCTTATTGGCGATCATCCCGATGAAAGCTTTAATGTCGAGCTGAGTGGGACAGCCCTTTTGGCAAGGCGCATCGGCACACTTCAGACAGCGGGCAGCCTCCTTGAGGGCGCCTCGTTCGCTCAGCGTGGTGTGCTTGATGTCGTCCCAGTTGTCAGTTAGCTCCTTGGTCCGCTTGCAGCAGTTCTTGTCGGCATTGCGCTTCCACTGCTTCTTCGTCTGCTTGGTCACCGTGCTCGGCAACACCGAGGCGTGATTGACGACGCGTGGGTTCAGCGCCAGTAGGTCCTCAAATTGGCGAACAAAAAATAATGTAAGTTAAACTGTTTTTTTACATGTTCGGAAGCGTTTAAAAGGTACTAATGTTTAAAAAATGTTTTAGCAGCAAGACAAACGGTGAAAAACTTTAACAAATTAAGTTGTCAAAAACATGCATGGACTAGTTAGCAGATATCTAACTTTAGATTTAAAACGACAAAGTAATCAATTTCAGGACAATAGCTTTACTTACTTCAATGTCATGAGTGTCTTCACTGAGTTTACGCGGTCCTGCTGGTCGGTTCACAGCAGGCACATGTTTCGTCCATCCATTTGCTGCCTGCCCGTTTACAGCGCCGTTCTTTACTTGCGACATCTTCTCTGCAGTTGATCACTGGTTAATAGTTGAAAATGATATTTTGATCAAA